GGTGGAAGTTTGAAACAAGGAGTGTGGGAGGGAGACGGATTTTACTCGATATCTTGGTTGTGCTTGTTTCTCTTTCTCTAATCTTTGTTCTTGGTTTCACTCTCATGATTATATAGTCAATCATGATGCATGTGTGGGCGAAGAAGGTGATGCAATGAACCACGATGTGAGAAAGAAATTTAGAGCAGCGAGATCATTTTTAAAGACCATGCATGAATAGACATGACTGAAAGCAGAATTGTCCATTAAAGACCATGCATTACTAGACCCGACTGAAGGCAGAATCGACAAGGCCGAAAACACACCAAAGCATGGACAAATGGAAGAAGTATTTTGATGATAAAAGTCCTCTTCTCACTTCCGCCAATCAATTACGACAGCAGTGTAGTATCCCTAAGCTACAATGTCACTGCCTTCAGTACTCCCTACACTAGCCTATCAACCTAGCTTTCTCTCCCTTGCGCTTTGTTGACTGGCTCTTGCCCGATGCTGCTGAAGGGTCTCCTCCCACAGGTGCTCTCCACCGATCACCTGGTAAGTGTCGGCCTGTCCCCACAGCCGCCCACCTCTCCCAAGGACCTCCCCTTCTCCTTGCCCATTTACATTGCGCTCCCTCAGTTGCTAGTGCACGTGGCAGCAGCACCCGCATGCTGCTTTCTGAACTAGGCGATGCTTTCCAGAGTTGTTCTGGCTGTGATGCTGCCTCTTGCTGCATGTTGCCTGGTGCGTCGTATGCCTCAGCCTTCTGCCTTTTGTTCTGTTATCTAGGTAGTGTTTGAACGAACTGGTAGGCAGTCCTTACTGGCCTGGGTGTGGCCGAGGTACCTTCCTGATTGGAATCCTGACAGGGCCTACAGGGTAATTACCTGAGCCACCTATATTGGGGCCCTGACTTATCACAGGCCGCACCTTCACTCAGGGCCGGCCTTGAATAAGCCTCACAATGGCAGTTTTATCAAATGAACTGTATGGATCATATTCGTGGCTAAGAAAGCGAAATATTTTTCCCACCAGATTTGCCCTTGGGTGGTCCCCCTCAACCAAAGCAATCCCCTGCAACCTCAGATATGTGCTCTCTTTTGGCTCTGCTTGTGTGTTATGCCACAGAAAATGGCTAATGAGCCCATGCGCAGGAGAGTCTGGCCCGGAGATGGTGGAGCAGTAGAGAGCAGTGTGACTGAAATGGTCCAAGCTCTTCAGCAGGCCAAGTGTGTCAAGCCGCAGATGGTTTTTGTTATGCTGCCGGATAATGACAAGAGAATCTATGGTGTGTCATCCTTACCCCCCTTATTCTTGGTTGGGATTTCAATGTTGTTGTACGGGTAGGGTCATAGCCTACTGGTTGCAATAGTATGAGAGCATATGGTGTGTCACCCTTTGATTCGGTTTTTGGTTTGGATTCTGGTCTTCCTAAACTACCACTGCATCCAGACCTGACCGGCAGAGCCAAACCAGGCCAGGTACCATGAATGTTTCGGGCAGTCCAAGAGGGGAAATTCTGGGCGCAAACCCTTTTTTTTTCTTTTTTCTGTTTTTTATTATTGAATCAACATTTATTAATCAGGGCAAATTGAGGCCGGGGACCTCACGATTCAACCTGGAGTTATCCTGGCAGCATCAGCCGGTTTACCTTACGAGCGAAGAACTCGCTCAACACCGATCACGGAGAAGGCTAGTCTAGGCACAGAATTAACCAACACTGGGCTGCTGTCCCGAAACCTTCCAAGGGAGACCCTTCTATGCTGTGGTGATTTAAAGTCTAAATCATGTCTCGCTTTCAGGATATCCTGGAGTCGAAGAGACCACACATTTCTCAAGGTGGCTTGTATTCGCTTCTTGTGGGGAGACATCCTATGCGCGACAGCGGTGAACTGCGGCCTACTGTCTCCACCCAAAAACAACGCCAGTTTTTGGTTGGCCTTTCTGTTCCTCTTGCCTTGCCCCCCTGTCTTCTGCTATGCTTTCCGCATCTGTTTCCCAAATTGTTGGTTTATGACTATGTGATGACATAGGGACAGTGAAGATGTCAATGACATGACCTACCGTGAGGGTTGGAGGATGAATAGTATTGAATCCTGATTATTGAGGATCTTCTCATTTGATGGGCATCGCAATTACCTGCATGGAATCAGTCTGAAATTATATGCAGTTTTCTAAGTATTGATGCTTGTAGGCTTGATTTGCTGAGATTTCCCGTGTTCTGAGTTGATTGCTGTTTGTCGGTGCGTGTTCAAGTCTCTATGTGATGATGACTGCTGTGACACGATAGAATGGGGAGCAACTCGTATTCTGCCGAAACCTGGGAAAAACGAAAAGCTTCCACTGGGAGTATCATGCTTCCAGGACAGGATCGTACAAGAAGTGCTGCGTTTTCTGTGTCCCGGGAGGGGTAGATCAGAAATAGGTAGAGAGACACGCGTAAGACTGAAATTGGACACGGGACGCACTGCATGAAGGCCAGGATGCACAAGAATAGAAATAAAATTTGGTAAGCAGCCGGTAAGGATTTTCAAGCCAACTCAGGTAAGGGTTAGGGAGGTCTTGTAGTTCCCAGAAAAGGTCAAGATGTTCCACTGACGAGTTTAGTAAGATATCAGGTTAGATTCAGGCCATGGAGAGACTACAGACTGCAATGATGTTCCTGTCCAAAGCAGGGACTATCCAGTAGGCCCAGCGCATTTGTAGAGGCAGGTAGTACCTGGGGTCGTGGTACTGGTGGCTGGGAGGTGTGAGTATATCATTAGGTGCAGTGAGTGATCTGGTTCTCTTTCGGACTTTGGCTGGAACAGGAAGACCTCTATGGCTATGGACGGGTACTAGGAGAAGGGTCTAGGCCTGGACTATGGACGTAGAAGTACCTCAAGCTAGGCTATGTAGCAGGAAGGATCACCTCGAGCTAGGCTATGTAGCAGGAAGTAGGAAGAGAGTAGAGGTTAAATGAGAGGAAGGAGGAGGGAACCGACATGGGAGACTTACCTTTGGCTAGATGGACCTCAGTCGCCACTTCCGTGGTTGGCGCTGCATCCGGCAGGCCCCTGTGGGTGCACCCACTGGTCTTGGACTTTATCTGGGAGTGTGGTTATGATGGCAGGAGTAAGGAGAGACACATTAGCAGGGATGTTCCCCAGTAGCTAGTTTGCCAGCAAGAGAGGAGAGAGCGGAGAGTGAGGCGGAAAGGGAAGCTATTTGAGCGCTGACAGTCACCTGGACACGGTTCTTGTTTATACGTTCATTTATTATAGGAGGAGGCGGTTGAAGAAGATGGAGTTGGGAGAGAAGAGAGAGAGTTGACATTTGTTCAAACTTGTATATATCTTCCTCTTCTTCTAACTTTCTCCATTCTGTGCCGCTCTTCTTGAGGTCAGCAAGCTTGCATTGTCTCAAATTGGGTTTGGCATTGTGATTGAGGTAGGATGATAACAGCATAATTTTGTTTTGGCACAGGTTTGCCCTAGTTTCGTATGTACGAGGACAGGAAAAGAAAAGATGTTCGGAGGGAGAGGAGAGGAGGGGGAGGAAGCCATTCGTAGGCCTCTGTTGTTGAGGCCCAAAAATAAACTGTCCATAGGTTTATCACCTAGAAAGATTCTCACGCCCGGCCGGGCACCCGGGCGTGACGCCCAGCCGGGTCTGACGCCCGGGGTACCCGGGCATGCCAAAAAAAAAAAGAAAAAAAAAGTTCTTATTATTATTATTTTTTTGGTTTTCTGCGCTCTCCCAGAGGACTCCAAATCCGGGCTCATTTCGTTTTTTGCGAGTTGGCTGTCAAGGGGGGGGGGGGTATAAATTGTTTTTAAAGGGGCTAAAGGGGTCTAGAGGGGGGCGGCAGGGGTGCTGTTGCATACTGTAATGGTGCAGACCAGAACAAGAACCGACCTCTCTCACAAAGTACAAGATAGCGTAGCGGAAGACTTAGATACCAACGATCCGAATTGCAATGCAGCCCCGAACATACATCATCATCATCACTCCATGGTGTGAAGGGACCTGGCGCTCACACAGGAAGAATGCGCCAGTCCCCAACCATACACAGACGAAGAAGAGGGGGGTTAGACGAAGAAGAGGGGAAGATGGGAATGCCGTCAACACCAAGTCTTCGGCACAGGCCCAAATAGTCCCTCGTCAAAATGTCGGAATCCCAATGTCGAGT